GGGACATGTCAAAGGAGTATGTACCAGCAGTGTCGTGTGCCCGCGGTGTGCCGAACCTCATTCAGAAGACACCTGCCACGCAACTGCGTACAAATGCTCCAATTGCCACGGCGCTCATAAAGCGTTGTCTAAATATTGCCCACGAGTGAGAAATGAACGCGCGGTGTTGAAACGCATGGTGCGTGACAATTCAACGCACAAGGAAGCCGCTGCTACTGTCAGGCGACGTCGGCGTCACCACAGAAGATCATCACGCAACGTGGCATCTGCCGATAGAGACCCGTCATCTCAAGCAAGAACTGGCCCCCCATCGTCAAGCTCTGCGAAGACGGATACACCGAAAACAGAATCAGGGTCAAGACTCCCACATCGTGAAGAGTGGCCATCACTTCCACGAACACAGCCTGTTTCAGAGGTGCATCGATCCCCGCCAACCTCGATGCCATCACGAACCACTGATGAAAAGACAACTGAGGATCGCCAGGTCATCAACATGTTGCAGACCCTTATGAGCGCAATGCGCATGCTCCTAAGCAACATGAACACCCCATCAGCGCAGAGCGCACTCCAAGTGCTGGACACTTTGAGTCCGGTGCTTGCAGCTCTAAGGTAAAACGATGGCCCGCAACATGTTATCCTTTCGCGAGGAGGTCAAGAACGCATCTGTCCTTCAGTGGAATGCCAGAGGACTTAGGGCGCGTATGTCCGAGTTCCGGCAATATGTATTCACAAACCAGTTCTCCATAATTGTGATTTGTGAACCGAACCTATCAGTCCAGATGAGACTGTCTGGATATGAGTGCTTTACGTCTTCTACCCACGGAGAGCGCAGCAAGGTCGTTGTGTTCATACGGCGCGACTTAACTTATGTTCATCACCCTGTACCCCCTGACGAAGAAAACCAGTACGTTTGCCTAACAGTAAAAAACAAGAAGACCACATTCACCATCATCGGAGCCTACTTACATCCATCAAGTCGTCTAGACCGAGAGCGCTTGCGCGGAATTTTGAATTCAACTCTCCAGCCATGGGTGATAACTGGTGACTTCAATGCCCACCACTACTTATGGGGAAGCTCCAGGGTCAACACTAGAGGTAGACAGTTAGTGTCTTTCGCTTCTGAATGTGAACTTATCCTCGTGAATGATGGCAGCCCTACTTATCTGCGTGGATCGGCCTATAGCAGTTGCTTGGACCTCACTTTCGTCTCACGCTCGTTCACACGCAGAGTGCACTGGTTTTCGGATTTGGAAACAAGGGGTAGTGACCACATCCCAACATACCTGAAGATTGACGGCTTTCCAAGTCTCAAGTCCTCCAGAGCCGTCCAGTGCACCGATTGGCAAAAATACAAGTTAATCATGGAAGACTATGTTGGCGCCTCACATTTCAACCTAGAGGACGCAATAAAGAGTGCCCTACAGTCAACGACGCGTTCGCTTCCGGTGAGCTCATCTCGCACTGATATGGACATTGATCTCGAGAAACTCCGAGCGATTCGTCGTCGTGCAGAACGACGTTATAGACGCACGAGGTCACTTGATGATCTGAGAGTGGCCAGACGCACACAAAAGAAAATACAGCGTCACATGGACAAGTTAGCCAAGCAGCGATGGGTATCTTTTTGCGAGTCGTTGGATCCCAGAAAGCCTCTGTCACTAATCTGGAGAACTGTCCGGGGTCTTCGTACAACCATTACTCAGCGCTACCCATTAAAATCTCTGGCACTTCACTTACGCTGCGAAGAGATTGATGTCGCAGATTCCTTCTGTCGAAGGATTGCCTGCGGCTCAAATTCAACTGGGACAAAGACGCCCCACTTTTCTGTATCCTCACGTGATCCCCGAATGGAGATTTCGTTTTCAATGGACGAACTAAAGGCTGCGCTTGCTTTGTGTAGACGTTCTTCAGCGCCAGGACCTGACGGCATTACTTACCGTGCTCTGTGTCGCCTAGGAGATCAAGCTCGGCAGGCACTCTTGCAGCTGTACAACGACTCCTGGCAAACTGGCATGGTTCCACAGGAATGGAAGTCAAGTCGCCTGATTCCACTTCTCAAAGCCGGCAAGTCACCCTTGGACATTTCCTCTTACCGCCCGATTGCCCTCGCGAGCTGTGTGGGAAAAGTTATGGAAAGGATGATTTTAACGCGTCTGGAATGGTACTTAGAATTCTACGAAATATATCCAGATGCCATGTCCGGGTTCAGACGAGGCCGCTCGTCAATTGACAATGTAGTTGACTTGGTGACATATGTAGAACACCAGAAGGCCTGCAAGCGGTTATCTGCTGCTCTATTTCTTGACGTTAAAGGGGCCTACGACAATGTCACCCACGAAGCCATTCTCAGCGCACTAGAAGGAGTGGGACTCGGTGGCAGGATATATACGTGGGTTCAGCACTACCTACAGAATAGATCATTTCACGTGCAGACAGAGAATGGCCCGACACCCGAGCATTACTGCAGCCGAGGAGTCCCACAAGGCGGAGTGCTAAGCCCGACGCTGTTCAACCTAACACTCATTGAACTAGTTGGCAAGCAACCAAGCAGTGTACGACTTTCCATTTATGCTGATGACATCTGTGTGTGGACATCAGGTGTGACTCGACTTCAACTTCGCGCTCGACTTCAGAAGGCAGCATCAGTGACATCGTACCACTTACGCAAACAAGGGCTTGAAATCGCAAGTGAGAAGTGTGCAGTCGTGGCCTTCACCAGAAAACCAATGTCCGCTTACGGCATATCAATTAACGGGCAGTTGGTGTCATGCAGCCGGAGTCACAGGTTCTTGGGAGTCGTAATCGACCGAAACCTGTCTTGGACACCCCACGTAAACTACGTTAAAAAGCGGCTGACTGCCATTTGTCACTTATTCAGGTTTCTTGCTGGAAAAAGTTGGGGAATGTCTGTCGAGTCTATGTTACAGCTGTACAAGGTATTATTTACTGGATTCCTGCGGTATAGCCTACCTGTTATATCTAACACATGCAAAACGAACCTGCGCACAATCCAAAATATTCAAGCCCAAGCGCTTAGGATATGCCTTGGTTTACCCCGCTGCGCATCGACAGCTGAAACAATTGCCATTGCACAGGACTACTCTATCATGACGCACATCACCATTGAAACGATGCGTACGTACCTCAGGCAACATGCTAGGAATCCTTCCCACCACTTGGCAACCCTCGCTACTGAGAGGCCCCGCACGAAATTTAGTGCAATTGTCTGCGCTCATCGTGCGTCGTTTACATCAGGTTTTACACCTGCTGAGAAACTGGTGTATCCTCCGTGGTGCCTGACACTTCCGCAAGTACGTGTTTCAATTCCAGGAATACGGAAAAAATCAAATTTGCCTTCGTCAGCCCTAAAACAATTGAGCTTGAGCCATCTGCACGAAATGTACAACAACCACGTGCACATATACACCGATGGTTCAACCACAGCGTCTGGTTCTGGTGGTGCGGTGGTGATTCCAGCTAGAGGAATCACTCTGCGAATCAAACTGTCACATGCCACTACATCCACAGCGGCAGAACTTGCGGCTTTGCGTGGCGCCATAGAGTACATCAAATCCCAAAGACCTAGTAAATGGGCTGTGTTTTCCGACTCAAAACCAGCCCTACAGAGCATGCAGTCAGTCCTTCGACGAAGTTGCCATGAACAATTAACTTACGAAGTTGTCAAGCTCGTTCACCACGTCACAGAAACAGGCCACGAGGTCAAGTTTCAGTGGCTCCCTGGCCATTGTGGGATCAGTGGCAATGGTTCCGCAGACAACGCGGCTCGTACATCGCACCAAGAAGAACACACCCTTCCGATTCCTTTGTCAAGGACTGACGCTGCAAATCAACTTCGTCACCTGGCACGTAGTCTGAGTCTGCAGGAGTGGAACACCCCAAGCATAAGACATACGAGACTATACCAAATAAACCCTCGACTCGAACTTCGACCTCCATCCGGACTTCGTCGACGTGAAGCTTCACTTTTTTGTCGCCTATGTTTGGGGGTTGCCTTCACAAAAGCATATAGAACCCTCATCGGATTGACCGACAATGCGGAATGCGACGTCTGCTGCACCAAAGAAGACATCGACCATCTGATATGCCATTGCCCTCGATTTGCTTCTGAAAGACAGAAGCTTTCGGATGCAATGCGACAATTGGACGATCGGCCACTCTCTGTGCAGATGCTACTGGAACACCGTCATCGCCTTTCGTCGGCTCAAAAAGCAGTCAAAGCTGTCTTGTGCTTTTTGAGGACTACAGGCCTCTGTGACCACCTTTAACTTTTGTGTAGTGCCACCGCTGCATACGCGCCAGCCGATTGACTGACAATCCTCCTTTTCTCTCTCACTCTCTTTCTCTTCTTTTTCCTCTCTCTCTCATCTTTATGTCCCTCTCCTATTCCCCCAGCGTAGGGTAGCAAACCGGGCATGTGCCTGGTTAACCTCCCTGCCTTTCCCTCTTGTTGTTTACCCCCCCCCCCTGTAGTGGAGGGCTCCGGAAATTTCGACGACATTGTGTTTTTTAATGTCTCTGGTGAAAAAGCTCGAGGAAGCGGGTTTGATTCCCGGCCGCAGCTGTTTCATTCTAACAGAGAGAAACTCAAAAATACCCGAGTACTAAGGTTTGGGTTCACGTAAGGTAACTTCGGGGAGGGCCGGGCAGATGGTCAGCGGAATCCGATGTCCTTCATTGCAGTCAATCATACTACCGGGGCTTCAAGACCTACAGTCTGATATCAAGTATTCAACAATTAACATGAAAGTGAAAGAAAAGTACACCCCTTAGCTGTCGGTTACATCTACAACATGATGGCAACATGACTCATGCCATAAATGTGCCAAATAACGATATAATTAAGGTGTAGAAATGCCTGAATGCTAATAAAAGTGTATTTCTTGTTTCTTGTCAGATGTTCTTGGACACAGACAAGAAGAATAGTTACCCCCCCCCCCCCCACAAAACAAAAAGTTGTATTTTTTGCGGCAGAAACTTACCTTTTATGAGTAGACGAAGACGTCGGAGACATTCCTCTCTAACTTCTTGGGTTTCGCCGAGCTCGAGTCTTGCCCTTTCTTGAAGATCCATCATATGGAGCCGCTCGGTGTCGCTTGCGTCTGGTTGTGTTACCGCGGAAGCATTTGCAACCTGTTCAAGGGTGAAGGTTTTAATTACCTGAAGAAATGCGTCGTACATCAGCACGCTTCCAACCAACATTATGCGTCAGTGTCTTCTGAAACGTTCGACCATTAGAAAAAATATGAGGTCGCGTTTATTTGAACTAGCACTGGCGGGCACAGCAGTGTATCGCTTAAACGCAAGAAAGTATTTCCGACCTATAGAACTTCTAGCTCAAAGTCTTCCGAGATTGAGCATCACAGACGTGACATTGATCGGCTGCTTGGTCGAAAGAAGAAAGGTGGAATGGTGGTCAACAAGAAAGTTTCTTTAAACCTTTTTGGTGGTCACATTTCAAACAGAGGATAGATGGTAGCAGCACGTGTACTGCGCGATGATGTTAAATAACCCCATGTGGTTAAAGCATTAGCGCATTTTGCACTAAGACGCGCACATCTGGATCAACTAGCTGGATCACGTGGTCATGCAGCTGGCCCTGGCTTGAATAGGCTTTTAACCTCGAACCTGTGTTTTTCCCACCGCTTGTTCTACTATATTCTATAGACCCATTGCATGTTTGTAAACAGGGGCAGGTGCCGTGAACATACTGAGGCGCTTGTATACCGACATCGCGGCTCATAGACTTCACCCACGCGATGTGCTCGGAGGTACCTTTGCAGCTGTTGTGCCACTTGTCACGTAGGCACAGATGGGGCTGGCAAGTTTTAGGCTGGGCAGAACGCACGTGCCATGACGTTGCTACATTCGCCTAAGTAAGTGGAAGGTTCCCACTCCTGTATACAGACGTGGAATATGTCTATGCATGGCTATGCTTGCTCTCCATTTTAAAATCGTCTTTTAGTCTGGCTCTTTCTGTCTCTTTCCTTCGTTAACCATCTGTCCTGAGCGTTAGGGTGGGGATTGAAGTTCGACCAGTTGATAGTGATGATGATTTTTTATCTACAATACACGGCAAACCTCGGCCATACCAGCTATGCTGTAAACATACGAGAACTTCATTCACTACGGGCCTCTCACGGGTGAGTCGCTTTGGAAAGTTCGGGCACATAAAAAGCCAATGTATTAATTCACTTTTTCCAGATCTATTAATCAGAAAATCGTACAGACACAAAGTTACACTAAACAAAACCACAAGCGCTGTGAGCTTTTCTCTCTTCGTTAGTGTCAACCGTGTTTCTAGGTGCTCTGCCACATACTGTCGAAACAGTGCCGGTTGTTCATCTGCTCCGTAAGTTGTTCCATTCGTTCATTGGAGACCGTGCATACAGCGCTTATACATTGTCCCACAATTAACTCCATGAATGTTTCCAAACACACAAAGGAAAAAGGGGGCTGGTTTGTAGGGGCGGGGAAACCTAGACATCGACTGAACTTGCGTCACCATCGTCACTATCAAGGCAGCACCTCTGTTCCTTACGTGCGAATTTGTGTGTGCGTGCGTGCGTGTGTGTGTTGATTGCTCCCTCACAAGCAATGGGGAAGAGAAAAAAAGCTTGCCCTCTACACCTCCTCCGCTTTTTAAAGACGATATTCTTTCTTGGGGACCTTCGACTGAAAAATCTTGGTCTGTCTGCCTGTCTGTCTGTCTGTCTGTCTGTCTGTCTGTCTGTCTGTATGTCTGTACGTTTGTCTGTTTGTCCGCCCTAACAATACCTCAAACGGCCAACCTCATCCGCAGCGCTCACCAATATTGTTCAAGGTTCAGCGTTCATAGATGTGCGATTTTCAATTAAAAAAGCGAATAGTGCACATATCTAAGGCGCCATAACAGCACGTCTATGCTTAGTATGTCTGCCTTTATACTAGAAGAGGACACAAGTAACTGTAAGGACTGTAGTGTTTATCGCGCTGCGCTGACAGTGCAACGCGATGCTCAAGGAAGTGTTTCCAACGCTTTGCTACGATGACATGGTGGTGGCACCTGCCCGTCGCTTTGCATTCTACACCTTATCACCTCCGAGACTGGCGCGCATCTTTCTCCGCGGTCGTGCGCGCCTTCGTTTTCGAAGATAACTGCCAGATGGCGCTTGTGTCTAACGTGCCTAGATGCGCTTGTTCGCCTCCGCTACAAGCTCGAGGCACTCTAATGCAGCACCTGCAGAATACCAATCACCAATTTTCGTGCGCAGAACATTAAATAAACGTTTTGTTCACTCTCTCCAGACTCAAGATTATCGTCTTTCGACGACATTTACAGTGTAACATGTAGACTCGGGCTAATTTTTTTTTTTCTTCTAGTGAATGCGAGTCAACAAACCAATATGAAGACTGTACTGCATGGGCACATGAACATCGGCAACCATATTCGCTATCAGTCGTTAACGCTATCGGCGATGGTGCATACACTGGGTTAGCAGATAAACTACAGGACCAAGAGATAAAGAATGTGCCTATATAAATACATCTGCACGCGGGGTAAAGTACTGATATTCTTAGTTTCGCCTACACTTTTTTGCTGAAACAGTAGGCCTCTAGGGGGAGATACGTCACACCATGACGTCACGGACGTACGTGCAAAGTGGCGTTGGCGAAACACCCCCGCTGCTGGCTCGGAGTATACCCGTGCGCTGCTTGGGCTAGTTTTCTTTGTTTTTTAAACCTAAACGTCATTTTAAGTGGCAAAATTAGCTGTGGTATGTGTTAGAAAAAGTCTAGGAGTGTGGTTAACAGCGTGAAGAAATAGTTGCCACATTGGCTGGCTGCTCATTCTGGAGAAGCGAACACACGTGGTGGCCTTTGCGCGGAACAGTAGCACCTTCTTCGAAAATGTGCATTGTTTACGGTGTCGTGTAGTGTTCGTATAAATGCACCGACTATTTGGTTAAAGTTTGCGGGCTGTGATATTGAGAATATTGTGTGCTGTGTGAATAACGGTGCATCTTGTATGCAAAAACATTAGCACACGTTTAGAACAGGTGGAAGTAAGTGTTTATCGACGGCACTTGACGATGGAACATTCTAGTCAAGGTAAAAATGCATTCAACGCGATCATCTGCTGGTGGGTATGTCTCAGCGTTTCCGCAGAGTTCTGAAAAAAAGAGTGCATGATCTCAGGGTTGAAATATACGACTACGCATGAGCTATTAGCATGTTTTTTTAGCATTGCCGAAGCTCTATATATGCTGCGCCACAGCGAATGCGCTATCCCGATAAATGCTTAGCTCGTATTATCGGAGACCTCCTACGCCTTTATGGAAACGGCAGAGAGATCTTGTTTCTAAGTTACTTGGAACCTTTTACGGCCCGATCTTTATGAAGTGAGAATGCACATGACAAGTTGTGTATCTGGTTAAAAAGAGCAAAGTACGTAAACACGTTGTAGGCATGCGACGCAGTGAGGTTACTGTGCAAGAGATATCAACATAATTAAGCTATCAGGATAACTATCACGTGAACGTTCAATGAGTTATGAGGATTGCTGTAGTGGAGAATTTCACTTTGATTTTCACAGGGTTTGGTTTATCTCAGCCCAACACACAGCAAAATGTTATTTCTTTTCCATTCATGCCAGATCATAGCTTTTTATAGAGTGATAATCTTACCTTTGACCTCGCGCATAGCGCAAAATCATACTGCTGCGAATGTTCTACCTCATTTAAAACTAAAGTGCATATGCAAGGCAAGGACGGAAATTGAGTACATTCCCATATATATATATATATATATATATATATATATATATATATATATATATATATATATATATATATATATATATATATATATATGGTTCCCATGCACAAGGAGCAGATCACCACACGTTAATCTAACAGAATCATGCATTATAGGCAGTTACCCTTCCTTTTTGTGATTATTACAAAAACAGCAATCCGCCCACAGTTCTGTCAAAGGAATGCAGAGAGACGCAACGCTGCTAGGGGGAGGATGGTGGATGGGTTGCTCGCCATGACGTCACACTGTTTACAAACAAGGAGGCGTCTATTCTGATATTCTCGATAGATTGCACAGGCGAATGGTCTGCGTGCGATGGTTCATATTTATGTGTTTCTGTAACAAACGTCACGTAGCATTCGGCTGCGGTCATTGCGCGTTCTTGGTATATTTCTCAAGCTGGTCGCGTAAAAATGGAATGCGATTACCACGTCCTTGTGTCACGGCTGCAACCACGGATATGTGTTTCTGTGCTGTATGTTCGCTGGTGTGACCTTAGCTAACACCACTTAGCTAACATATCGGAGATAAAGATACGTCCTACCTCACAAAGCAGCGCTGCTTCTTAAGCCGAACGTTCTGTGCCCAGTGCTAACGAAATTAGCAATGCAGTTCATTGTTGCTTTTACAATAAAATCCCGTGTTGGTCGCAGGCAAAGAGATGGAATCACTTGACACTTTCACTACACGTAAGTAGCCTTTCCGAATCGTAGTGATTCCCCATTCGCTGCATGCTGCAAGAAAGCATCTGTTTTGCCTAGACACTCGAAGTCAACCTTCACCGAGTGTCTCTTCACTGAAGCGCTTCCGTCCTTCCCTGATCGTGCTGACTCAAACGCAAGCTGTTGTTCATCCTAGGTAGACATAATTACAAAAAAAAAGAATAAGCACAAGCAGCGAAACGTTAACGCCGCATGACAGTTCTCGCAGCTGTCCGGAAAATTAAAAAGTTCAATGACAATCCAAGGCTGACACGAATATTGTTAAAGTACGGCGCCAACGACGCATTGCGCTGTTCTCCACGAATGCTTCATCACAAGGTCGCAGACACCGCATTCGTTAAAGTACGCACTCTTAGACGAAAAAAAAAAAAAAACACTCCGTTGCACTCACCAGCGGTGAGCAAGGCAGGACCGGTTGCCGCGCGTTCCCATCGGCAAACTGGCTTCTCGCGTCGCAGGGGCTTGCAGCGTTTGCACCTCCTCGCCAGCAGTTGCGTATCGTTCGGCGATTGTTAGATCACGGCACGCGAGAGGGCGTTGCTACCTTCTCTTCACCTACGTCGCTACGAGTACGGGCCGGCTTTTTCTTGATTGTAGAGCTTTTTTGTTTTGTTGTTTAAACGACTAACTCGTTGTGTTCCCCTCGACATTCTGGCACGTGCTATAGAGTAATTCATCTAGCCCCGTCAGTCACGAATTATGATGTGCTGTCAGAAACGCGTCGAATTTGCGTGACATAGTAACAAGGCGCTCAGTATTACATTCTAAGTAGGAAAATGAAGAAAAGCGTTGTTCCATGCGAGTTTTGATACTTAAAGTGTAGCTAATTATCTGATTATTTTGCCACCGGTAAGATTCAGTTATTACATAAAGAAAAATTGCTATTAGGCCGGAAATGCATGCACTGTTTGTTTTCAGGTTGTATCTTCTCGAACGAAGAAAAAAAGATTTTTTTCACGTAGGTCTTGGTATGAGTTACGCCGTACAATTGTCGAACATGGTATAGTGAAGCCATCAAAGTGATCTTCTGCAGCAATACGCAGCATAATGAAGTTAAATGATCGCCAGTTGTTCACTCAGAAGGCCTGCAAGAATGTGCTCACTGTCTTTCAAGCCATTTGATGAAACACGCGGTGTGTTACGTGCCATTGGAGTTGGCATCTCCATTAGTACATACCGTGACTGAAAGAGCTACACCCTCCCAAGGTCTCAAGGCTTATGTGGAGAGTCATGATTTCATGAACTCATTTAACCTAGCTGAGTGCAGATGGACATCGGCAACGGCATTCTCTCAAGGGACTCTCAGGTACGCAAAAAAAATTATGAAATGAAAATATATAGCGAGGGTGGCCTTCTTTTTATCGTGAATATTGGGCACCGTACAAGACCTTCTTTATTTAATTGGCATGCGGGGTTTAACGTCTCAAAACCACCATATGATTATGAGAGACGCCGTAGTGGAGGGCCGTGGAAATTTCTACCACCTTGGGTTCTTTAACGTGCACCCAAATCTGAGCACACGGGCCTACATACAATAACTTCCTGCTTCATCCTATGCTTTTATGGAAATCTCGACCGCCATTTTTTTGTGGAGATGCTTATGTGGCATTTTCTGCCCATTTCTAATTACAGTTATTTCACCTTTTCTACTTCTGCGCGATGCACTTAATGGTGTCATATTTTTTCCAGAATTGTCAGTCCAATTTTTTTTTAATTTGCGTTTCGGGGATGAATGTACTATTTGAAAAGATACGTAATTAGCGTCGTATATAGGTCACCTTTGCGCCAATACACCCGATTTAACAAAGAACTAACATGTTACTACTACGTAGTAAGATGACCTTGCAGAACGTGACCTGATTTCCTCTGTCATAAGGCAGAAATAATTGATCCTCTTGGGATGGTTCCGTCATGCCACATTAAAGTAGCAGTGACATCAACTGTACGCATGTCACGTTATTTGCGCGAACAGGTAGTTATGGGCCATCAAGTAAGGCTTCTATACTGATAATGCTGATAATGCAACAAAGGAACGAATAAATATCTATAATATTAATTTTTAGGACCAATATTGAGGGTGATTCAAAACGGGTGCGAATCCCTCCTATTCGCAGCGCCACCGCGCGGCCATCTGATTAGGTCTTGCCCCATCTGGTCGCATGGCCACAAGGAACGGCAACACTGGCTTCTGACGACATTTAGTCAGGTAGGTGCGCACATGTAGCAATGTGTTCGTCACCACCACTATCATCGTCGCCGCTGTCATCAGTGTCTTTAAGTGGCGAAGAAAAAAAAAGCACCAAAGAATGAGAAATTGCTGGGATTTGCGACACCACGAATCATTTTTGCTTCGATCCTTGGCAAACATTACCGTTAAAAAAATTGCCCGCAGCTTCCCTCGGGGGAACACTGAGGAGGATGCGGAGCATATAATTGGTTAACGAGGTGTTAAAGTGCGACTTACTTGGGTCGATGGCTAAATTGGTTAACGTGGTTGTGAAATGGGGTGTTAAATTGCGACTTACTTGGGTCGATGGCTAAATTGGTTAACGTGGTTGTAGGAGGGGGCGTTAAATGAGTGAACACGTACACACGTATGCGACAGGACGGCGCTGGTCGAAGGGACGTCGATCATTGTGTTTGTGGATTCGTTGGAATTCATTTCACCGCGACCTTGGACGTCGACGCGCCGTACAAACCAACCGACGAGCGGCAACTGAGCGAGCGAGCGCCAACCTTGAGTATATATACAGCGCGACGGCGAATGCACTGTCAGCTGTTGAATGTTCTCGAAGGAGAAGCGCGCGCGCGGCACAGATGGCGACGGCGCGACGGCGCATGCGCTGTCAGCTGTCGAATGTTCTAGAAGGAGAAGCGCGCGCGGCACAGATGGTGGGCGACGGCGCGACGGCGCATGCACGCGCGTCAGCTGTCGAATGTTCGAGAAGCGGTGCGGACGGCGCGAACGGCGCACTACAAGGCGCGAGTATAAGATGCTTCCGCATCTAAAACGTAACCATTCTGAGAAGCGACGAGACAGCACTGGCGCTTGAGCCGTACTGGCTCGTAAGAACACAGAACAAGAAGAAACGATGTGTACAAGATCAAGGCTGCTGTCCTGTTGACAAAAGTCAGCAGTGCGGTATCTAAAAATAACGAACTATTTACTCAATGGAAAAGGTCGACTGTCACAAACGTTAAAATACGTCCGCACTTCAATCGCGTCTGCCGATTCTTCCGCTAGACCGAACCGCGTACTGTGCCGCCGCCTTTTCCAGCAAGCTCCGAGTCACGTTCCGAGTGCGCCATCAGTTTTGTTTGCAGATATTCATGAATACATTAGATCGCATGTGCATGTGCGTACATGTTCGCTTTCACAAATTCGTTTGCTTTAAATGTTCAGAAAGGTTACATGTGACTTGCGCTGCACTTTTGAATGAGTATGCAGTGATGAGATGTGTTCTAATGCAGTCACCACTGTAACCGACTTATGTGTTTTGAATTGTACAGATGAAATTTATGTATGGTCGTGTTGCTACAAGCCACATAAATGCACTGCTTAAGCTACGCTCTTGTAACTAAGGAAAATCGTGAGAGGGAATCGGGGTAGCTTTATGTGTATGGTGTCATGTTATAAAGTCGAAGTGAAGGTTAGGTTACAGAAAACTTTCCAATGAAGAAATTACGCCAAGACCCAGCTCACAAAATACTTTAGACATTGAAGAGATCTTTATAAAGGATTGTAATTACGTACTCCATTTGAGTATTTACTCGTAACACTGTGGAAACTACAGGCTACTTCAATAAATCACTGGAGTGAGTACACATTTAGCTCTGTCCCGCACTCATTCAGCGAGTCTCTGTGCATTCAGTGTGGCATTATCAGGGGAAAGGCGTGATGGTATCTACCAGCTGCTACAAAATATGATCTTGCTAAGCAAACAAGTCTTGTTTTTCTTTTTTGATACGTGTTTTTTATTGTGCACCGCATCCATGAACGCTGGTAGACCACGAAGCCAGATAAAGTGGGATGATAGAAGAGATCTCAAGTTCGCTTTCTGCGTTGGCAGGGTTTGCGATTGCGAGATGCTTGTGCGGTGGCATTTCCGTGGTTTCGACACCCGCTACAACCATGCGCTTCACGAAGCAATGATAACGGGAGCCTGTCAGTCACTGACCTGTAGCGTTACGTGAAGACGTGTCCCGTTACGTTCTCGTTCGTTCTGGCCTTGTGCGCGCCAACAGCTTGGCACGAAAAATTCAGAATTAATTATGTCTATGTGACAAAAGAAGGCGCTCGACTTACAAGGGGATACACTCGGCGTCTCTGTTCGTTCTTGGTTTCCGAAGGTGTACCGCTCTGAAGCATGTAGTCGGCGTAATTTTTGATGAAATATTTTGTTTCGGTAGCTCAGATGTCTTCCCAATACTCTTAATTTCATAATTGTCCAGCTTCAGACCCTCGCTTTTGGAGTTTCAGAGCCCTGCGACTGCTAGTGGTCTGCTTTGTGTTGTCCAGTCGCAAGCTTCGCCACTTATGAGGTTCAAATAGAAACGCCTGAAGCTTCGAAACACCTGCTTATGCATAAAATATTTGTCTTTAGGTGATTGTTTCAATTCATATTCAAGTATGTCCCATGACAGGCAAAATAATCTCTCATAAGAGAACCAGCTTGTAGTTAAGACGCATCTGGGAATGAAATAAAACACATGAATGCTGTCTGGCTGATGTAGTGAATAATGATCAAAGAAATGTTACGAATAATTTCCACCTGCACTTGCTGTAATACTTGCGAGGCCCCAAAGAAAGCTTATATGTTCTTTATGTCAGCTTAAGATAGGTGTGGCTAGACATTTTTATAAGGGGGGGGGGGGGGTACCATTAATGCTTTACATATGTTCGTGCATGCACATGTGTATTGCACTATTAAAAAGTTCGTTGGTTTTGAGCCTCCCCCCCCCCTCCTTTCCTCCTTGTCTACATTAAAATGCAGCACATAGCTAACCAACTAAGTGGCACTGGCTTGGTCACAAAAGTTGTAATATAATGGTGTGAAGAGTGTTCTTCAGCAACGTAATGTTTACCAATCGGGCACTATGTTTGTATTGAGATCAAAGATCGCAACTTTATTCGGACCCCTTTTTACGGCATCCGTCATTACCTGATTACATATTGAAAGTTAGATATTTAGTTCCCCGTTCGCATCTACTTTCACCTCGTTCGTTTCATGCATTCAAGCAGAACACTCGTATCCAGCATATTATTCGTTCATGTGTTTCTGCCCGGAGGCGTTCATAGCGTTCTTTATTTGCGTGAACCGTGTTTCTCCTCAGCAACCCCCCCCCCACACACACACACAGACACACCACACCCCGCTCCCCGATTATTCGTGTTAGAAAAATAAAAGCTTCCCAATGGATTCAAAATATAAACTGGTGTCATGATGTGCTTGACACAATGGCTTACGTTTGGTTCCCGGCTTTCCGGAGGAGAAGAGGGATAATGGTAAGTAAAGAATTAACTTGCACACGTGAGGTATGAGCGGTCTTTCGCCGCTATTATATATATATATATATATAGTCATAAATATGCGTGGCTGCAACTCTGTTCTTTGAAGGGTGATGTGAAAGGTACCAGAGAGTATAGGCATGGCCCCGATTTGGTCTTCCCTTTGGATGATAAGGGGGGGGGGGGGCGGGGGATGCGCTTTTCACAGCTTTATCGGATAGACTCGCCAGTATTTAAAAAGTTTAGTCCGTGTAAGACATTCAACTGTTTATCGCTGCAACACCTTTATCTGCTACTGATACTGCAGTCACCACTAAAGGAATCGTGCAGTTCCAACGAGGCGCCTGCTGCCAAAAGGCTTCGTAAGCATGAAGACGAGCACATAGCCCAATATCGGCATTGTCGAAATCACGGAGGCAGAAGTGCAATCTTTTCTGAAGTTCCGCGTAAATTTCACCATAGCCTTAAGTTTCAAGTCGGATGCCTCGGGTGTGTCGTTGGGTGGCCCCTTCAGCAAAACATGGCATTGAACAAAGTGGTACTGACATCCACGTGGCTTACGTCACCTATGACGTCATCACATTGAATCGTCACTTAGTCAAAGGTGCGCCGAGTTCAAAGGTTGGGTTACCGCTCACCTGAAGCCTTCTGAACGAGATGTGCGAAAGGCCTGAGGCAGGGATGAACAATGTACTGAAAACATCGAATGAGAACGTCCATGTAACTTATAGTGCATGTCTCTCTCTCACTGCTGCTTGTTCTGTCTTGAAAGGAGCTCCGCCCTCGATAATATCACTTGATGTATTACAAAACGGGCAGCAGCCGTTGCCTTCAAGCGCTAAAGTTTAATAAGCTGCCAATTTCCCTTCTTTTTGAGTGCTGCTCTTCACAGCACTGAAAGACTGGAGCTCTTGGTAACTGCACTACTGTCTTTATGTAATCACTCTCAATACTTGATTATAATATCCACGGAAGCACAAAATAAAACAATTAGTTTTGTACAATGCACGTTCTTTCGAGGTAATAAAATTTTATTGTTCCTTATAACTGCAACTTAGCATTTTTTCGAAGTGGTCCGCATTTCCGAGGAACACCTTTTCCTGCCTCGCGAAGTCGAAACGTTCCGGTTTACCTCCGAACTCCTCTGGCAAAATTTCGGCAGGAATGTCTCCGGAAAGCTCTGTCAAGTCGCTTCCAATGAAACGGAGCTGTCAGAAATAACGAGCGGTGAAAAATAGCTTCAATCATGTCACCGGAAGAATTCGCATGAATAAAGCAAGTATTATGAGCGAAGTATAAACCATTCTTCATGCAGTTAACGTATTTTAATACACTCGTTTTTTCGAACAATATATCTAGGCAACTTTTAATCACTGTTTCTCACCTCTCACTTTATCACAATTATAGTGTCTCAGACGCCTTCTTCGCGCCTTGAAATTTTATTGGGAACAAGATGAACACACCGCCTGTGCTGCAGATAACAATATGTAGTTACGGATGATAATTCGACGCCAACAAGTCTTGCTTTTTGGAGGTTTCGAGAACTATAGAATACAACTTCGATCACTCTTCTTCATTTCTTAATTGCATAATGTAATTGAAGGTTATGGAGCACCTGCGTTGGCCGTTACGAAGGTGTTTAGTATATTGTGTAAAAAAAAAAAGAAGGAACTGCTCCAAATTTATTCAACAAAGCATAGAACCGTAAGCATCAAGATAGTGTTACTCACTATCAATTTGCGTTTTCAAGAGGTATTAATCCCAACAGAAAACTTACGTTCAAGGCCTCTCGACTTCACTATGCGTCCCTAAACTTAGCGCCAGTGTAATGTCAATAAACTTCCGAACGTTTGTACACTCGAGCAAGAGATAGATTTCTAACAAGAACTCTGCATATAACAAAGGCTTTTATTACGTCATGTTTGAGGAGCATGACGTGACACCAGGCTTACTAATGAAAATTCATTGAATATATCTTCCTCTGAGAACCTTGAATTCCTCTAGTCATTACAATGTTTTGCTTAAGAGTGAACTTCCCATTTAAAAAACAAGCTCACATCATGTCCTTAGCCAGATATTTTCAACAGAAATGGGCGGAGGGGGGGACAGAAAACTTGATTCAATCTATCCACACTTTCTATCCACACATCTCGAGAACTCATTGGTCTACTGTACAACTATGGCTGCCTCCTTCCTTAACGCTACCTATACCATTTCCTGTTGCATTGCTAAAGCAATTATTATTGGTGACGAAATGTTGCCGTAAAACAGAATATTGGTACTTCTATCGTACATATAGAATTATCATTTACTATAATCAGTTACAGCTTAAGAAAAATATAAGCTTCACCCGCAGCAGTCACCGTGCCATCCAGGCAGAATTTTCACAAATGTTCCACTAATTGCAAACGCTTATTTACGTGACGTTAGGACTTTTCACGAAAAGCACGTGCCACACAGGCACGTGTTAACTTTGATAGTTCTCGGTGAAAGAGTTTCACGTGTTGGCAAATTTTATGAAAAATTCTTACTTCACTGCTCAGCCAAATGAAGCCTTTTATTAATAAACGACGAACTGTTAATTCATATTATGCGCAGTATTTGCATTATCAGCAACAAAAAGTGCATATAATTCGAACAGAAAACGCCAATCGTGGCTTTGTTGCCCAGGTGAATGGCAGACGGGCTGCAGTACTGGGGGCGGAGCGGGTGTTTATTCGTAAGTTGTAACCTATAAATACAGAGCCCTAACCAATACCAAAAGGAATAAGTGCTCGCTACGTTCTGTACAACTTTTTTATTGTCCAGTGTATGGGAGAAAAAAATTCAAGAAAATCACAACTTTGCATTCGCAAGTTCTCAACCGCAGCCATTCTTTGCGTCTCGAGAGACTATGACTGTTGTAGATTTCCAGAATGTTGTTAGCCAATAGGCGTCGTCTTTAAAGGACTAATGTAATATGTGAAAAATGCAGCGGCAGCTTTTTTCGAAGTGAGGAAGAGGCGTCATCATCATGCTAGTGGAAATCTAGGTGCCTAAAATTAACACGATTGGATTAGTTTTTCCCCACAACATCACAAACAGTGCTCAATTGATAGATTGATTTGGGGGGTTAAGCTTCCCAAAACCACGATATAACTATGAGAGGCGCCGTAGTGGAGGGCTCTGGAAATTTCGACCATTTAGTGTTCTTTAACGTGCACCCAAATCTCAGCAAAACATTTCCACCTCCATCGGAAATGCAGCCACCGCAGCCGGGATTCGATCCCGCAACCTGCGGGTCAGCAGCCGAGAACCTTAGCCACAAGACCACCACGGCGGGGCGCCCAACTGATTTGTATACCTATGTAAAATGAAGAATGCCGCCAATTGTGAATGTTAGCATAAAATAGTAGCCTGTTTTTTTTTCTGTTTTGGTAGCCTTAGGACTGGAAGCTTGCGATATATTTTGTGAGGTTGCACCCAAAGATCCTATGGACAAGTAGTGCATTATATATTACGCAGAAATCAAGTTGGCGGGGTAAGCTTCCACATGACCACATACTTATTTGGCTAGGCCGTGGGCTCCTAAAGGTGATACAAAATAGCGTGGTGCCATTGTTTGGTACCACTGGCACCACGAATTCAGCCAACCGCGATGCTCGCTATGCCGCGGTAAGCTTCAGTTGGACTAAAGTGCTTATGAGGGCCGGTTGGTGCATGGACGATGAAGAGAAAAAACAGCGCGAAAAAGCACTGTCTCTTTCAATGCCTCGCGTTTCGCGCTGTCCTTCGCTTAGCTCTTTATTTGCAGTTGTTGCCTTACCCGCTTCTGCAGTTTCTCAGAGAGAAATGATTTCACAAGACCGTAAAGAGTCTCTGTTACCGGTGGACAGTTTATGAAGTAGACTCCTTTGATCCGCACCGGCATTGTGTCCTGCAAAATGAGAAATAAGTCGATAACGACGAATAGTCGAACCAAACTGCATCAATGCGCCAGTGCTAAGGAGTCTATAAGTAAATTTCTGTATCGTAACGCCGCACGCTCTTCGAAAATTATTGTCTAAAATCTGTACGCATGACTTTACTATGTGTGGTTTTTTTTTTTTTTTTTACTTGCCTGTGCTAGCATGATGGCTTTTCTTGCGAATTTAGGTGTCAGCTGTATCAGGTGTCGAGCGCAGAATCCTTTTAGATCTACAATCGCTACGCCTCCGCGAATCTGTATTTCTTCATCCAGGAGGCCAGATTCTAGTCCTACCAAAACACACCTTGCAAGATCGTCCATGGAACAAATGCTTGGACTCCAGGCACCTGTGAGGACAAGGATGAACATGAGAAATATTTTCAGCTGTACTCAAATGTCAATAGGATAAATTCAATTTTCGCAGATTGGTGCCTAGCACGCGCCAACTGTGTACTGTCTTTAGGCTTATCGATATATGCATATATTGAGAAATAACTTCAAGCTGAATAATACTTGTTGTTTCAACAACTACATTCTAGGGAAAAAAAGGAGTACCTTGATTTCTATTCGAGAGCTCTGCCTTGCACGTATAAAACTTCGGTGGTAGCATCGAATGTTGACCCACCTTTGAAACCACATGTTCAGTGTAGCGGCAACGTTGTGTCAACATTTTGTGCTACTAGGGTTTCTTCATAGAGGCACTTCTACTCTCTCTGGAAGTCGTTATACTCCCTTCTGGGAGTCATGTGACTCACAAGAGAGGTAACGTACATCTTTAAAGGGGGTCAGATATAAGGCAAGTCAGGAGTACCCGAAATGAGTCCTTTTTTTCTTAGAGTGTATGTTGCTAGGTTACTGTGGTGCACTGGTCCTGTAAATTAGTTATCATGTTTCATTTTTCTTGCTTTAACCACCCTTCTGTGGAACTGGCTTGAAAAAAAACTCTTGCGGCATGCTGCAGGTGTTAAGTGAAAAGCTACAGGTGATGTTGATGCATCGAGTATGATGTTGACGATCTTCCAGTACGTTGCGACAAGGCTCCAAGAAGCAACAATTAATAAAACGTACTAATTTCTTCCAGAGAACAACTTCACTTGAACTGTACATGGCATTTCCAAAACAAATAAATGCTCAAATATTTCATGGTGTCTTTGTGGACAACAAATAAACATAAGACCAAGGCATACAACAATCACATTGTACGGTGAAAGGTGTTATAAGATAACAACTCGGGTCACACGCAGTTGTCAGCCGCCGCCGCCGCCGGTGTCTGTAATCACCTCGCGCGAAATTAGAAAAAAAAAACTTTATTGACACAGTGGAGCTCAAACCCTGGTGCCAGCCAAGTAATCTACTACTGAGCATCACCGGTGCTTGTGACTTGTCGAATTTGCTTTAGACAGGATTGCCCTAGCATCAATGACACAGTGGGGCTCAAACCCGAGTTCGCTGGGTGCCAGCCCAGTATTCTACCACTGAGATACACCGGTGCTTGTGACTTGTTGTCGAATTGCTTTTTTTTGCCAGTATTTTACCACTGAGATACACCGGTGCTTGTGACTTGTTGTCGAATTGCCTTAGGCAGGATTGATTTCGTGAAAGCAACCGTGTTAATATGACTTATAAAGCGTTTTAAAGCAGCGAAAGAACAACCAGTCGTGACACAATGCGAACAGCGTAACGAGTGGGACGTCCAATGCTTCAGCGCATCACAAAAGCTTGTTCTCTTGTTCCCCTATTAACTGTGGCGCATACCCACTTCAGCCATACTTCCTCATCATCCTCAGCCACTGCATGAACAAGTGGCACGAAATTCCTCGCATATGTTTAGCGGATACCACGCTTCTCAGAAGAATGACGAAAAATTGCATAGCGAATGCTGGACTACTACCCCCAAAATTATTAATATTGCCCTAGCGGAGATCAAGCAAGTGTGCTTGCAGGGATTACGCAATGAGTGTTTAGAAAAGGCTCTGAAAGGCCACTCTTCTAGCTTTCGCTGCGACTGTGCTGTGCCTTCCACGCAGGCCTGGTGGTTTTGTGGTACTCAACTGCCTCAAAAAAAAAATGGTGGAGGTGAGAGTCTTCGCGAGAATATGCCGACAGAATGCAAAGTTTATTGCAGCACGTGATTTCCGTCGTGAATGGCTGTAGATATTTTGTCAGGATCATATAACAACCTCACTTAGAGGCTCACGATGTTCTGCATGGGCAATACGAACATTGAACGCCTGACTTTGCTCACCAAAATTCACGTAAGCCACGGCTCTTCCTTGGGAGTCCCTCTCCTTCGGGTACTTGATGAGTTTGTGCTCGTTGAAGACAGCCTGATAAGGAATACTCGATGGAGTCAAGTTGTCGAAATACTCCGGAATGTCTCTGCGAGCACGGACGTATCTCTTTATCGTTCTCAATGCACCTGGCACATTGAACTTGCGGACACGAAGAAACATGAGGAGAATGTAGTCATCTCGAGGAATTCGCACGTGACTGTTCTCTGCGGATGAAAAGGGGAATCGAATGAATTACTCCCGTCACGGGCTGCAGTCATTGTATGTTTCTGGTGCAAATGATTGTCTCTGTTTACACACGAGGTACAGCAGCGTTGTAGAGGCGCACTCGATATACGAAGATTTCCACACTAATAGGTACGCTGCACACATAACTAAATCATAAATGAGTGTCATGAGCACCCGTAATCGGTCCTCGGAATGATCAGCGGATTGGGTACCCAAGGACTAAAAACTCAGCGAAAGATGGCAGATCTAAGCTTACATAGAGTGATGAAATTAGAAAACTTTAGGAGAACATCGTTCCCGTGTATTACATTCTATTGATGTAGCTGGAAAAATTGCATACTCACCACCCTTTAGGTGACAAAGCCGCTTCACTACACTTCAATTTATTCGCGCATACAATGCTGTGTGTTAATTTGGACCACCACCACAAAAACAAATAAAAGTGGCGTTCCAAGACTGCAAAAAAAATTAATTATTCTGCACAAATTTGAAAATTCGGTGCCTCGAACGCTTTCTGCCCCACTTTTTCATAAGCATTCGAATAATAGTTTTCACGAAAAGTTTGTGGTAACTGATCTACGATCAAATGAAATTGAACACCGACATTTAAAGATGCTTACCGCAGGAAACAACTGAGGAAACCGTTAGAAAAGCCACCTTTTACGGTGGGGACATTCGGACCAACTACGGCAGACAAAAACTAGCACATACTTACTCCTTCGTTTCTAAATTCAAACAGCATGCCCTCACTATAGTAAACGAAATTCGATCAAGAGCAACTTAAAAAAGAAAACAAAACAATATGAATGCTCATCTACTCACGCTTAACAGCTGATACGTCCACTTGTTTTTTTTCTTTGTTTTATGTTGAACGTTTATCCCACTCTTTCGTAAATTCACATGTCTTAAAGTATATATTTCGAAGGCAGGCATCATTATGTTGACGTTTTCACAGTTTTTATATGTGCACTGCTCTTTATAAAAGCAGCTTTTGTTTTTAAATGTCATTTTTGTATTGGTTGTCTTTTCAAGTGTCTATTTCTCCTTTCCCGTTCTTCTCCTTTCTTTTTTTCACTCTAGAGCTACTCGTGTACTTATTCTATTTTCAGTGTATTGAATTCATGTGTTTATGCTTTACACAACTATGCTCTACGTAGATGTACAGCACTCGTGGATTGAAAAAGGACACTCGGGGCGTGTGGCCGACGGTACACATGTGCCGCCGCTCGAGGGTGCTCGTGAAACAGAGGTGTTGCATTGCAGTGTAGAGTAAGGGAGAGAACACCTACAAAGAAGGATTACTTTTTCCAGTCGCTAAAGCGTCGGTATTATCTTCACAAAATGCACACTGTCATCGCGCCGCTGCAAGACTCGCACACACGTGCGATCATGGCGCCATATTGTGGCGTGATATTGTGGCGCCAGCAGGTGACCCTCTCGTTCTGCGCTCTTGGGCGTTGCGGTACGTAATCTGTGTAAGACACAACATTCAGCTGCGAGATTGCGTCTGGCGTGCGTTCGTAAACACGATAACCACCTTCATGAAAATATAGAAAGTTTACTTCGTGGCTTCTGTCACAACATGTAAGAAAGTGAGTCACAAACCTGCCTTGGTGCAACTTGGAAACGATACCATGTATTAGTGTCCATGGTACAAATTGTGACCTATCGTTGAATAAACATGGCAGAATCTGGCTCGTTCTTCCATGGCTGATAGCTCTTCGAATGTTTAACACGCAGAATAGCCACAGTATTAGCTGCTCGGGGTGAAACAAGAAAATGAAAAGACATTGTTTCAATCTTTCACAAAAACAGGCCACTGTCTGCTACTTTTCTTTTTTGTCGGGACAAAAAGCACGACAAACCATCTATGCGTTTGTGCAGCTATTATTTATGTCTATGAATGCACGTCAGTAGCACTTTCTTAGTTGAATCCCGTTTCTGACTTGCGCAGCCAGCATGCGTGCCACGTCACTCAAGGGCGCGGAACGAGAGCGTCGTCTGCTCGCGCCGCAATGTTAATGGCGAGCACCACCGAGTCTATTTGCTTGCGGCAAATGCGAAGGCTCGCAAGTCTTGCGGCGCCCCATGGGCTGTGTGCAGTTTGTGAACTAAATACCGACTCTTTTGCGACCGGAAGGAGTAATCCTGCTCTGTAGGTTTTCTCCCCCTCACTCTATACCACAATTCAGCCCTTTGGTTCCACGAACACCCACGAGCAGCGGTACAGCTACCGCCATCCGCACGCTCCTAGTGTGCTATTTCAATGCGTGAGGGCTGTACATACTGAGTGTCGTGCATTATGGTAGTTTCCACACCCCGGAGTGTCGTGCATTATGGCACTTTTCCACACCCCTTCCCATTCAAGCTTCCGATAAGTGCTGTATGTTTTCAGTGACAAATAAAGTTGTAACACAAAATGACGGCAGCTTGTGCAAGCTCGAAAAAAAATGGGTATGATACTTTAGTACTACCGTGAACGTTAGAGTCATGCTGAATGCCCATAGATGAATGCCCATCCGTATGCCTAATTATCTGTCATTGCAATAACTGAAAGCGCTGTATGAAAGGGAGCAGCAATGTGACGATAATGCTTGCCACTTCGCTGTTGAAAATCATAGACAGTTTACTAAAAATATACAGGGTTTCTTTAGTATGTTTATTCCATACTATTTTAGAATGTCGTTACCAAGTGTTAAAAAAAGTATACAGTTGTCTCGTAGAAGCACAGTCGTTGCCTTCTCAATTACTACCTACCTTATCTATGCGTGCAGGAAGGAATACTAAAATCCATCGCTTTAGAGAAATGAAAATATTTACATGCTAGAGATTACTTGATAGTGTAGCTATTGCTTAATTTTCATCTCGCTCTAAGTAATAACTCATGTTTAAACAAAAACGATTTCTAACAAGCATTACACACGTTTCACGATCACTTCAGGGCCCTAAGGACATCAGTGGTAGGAAAACTGAGACGGAGACTGAAATTTCCAGCATGTAATATGGCTTACCATCGAGAAGTTTGTTGAGCTCTGCTAAGGATTCTCGTCTTACTTCTGCGGTTTCGCCCAATTCGTTCTTTGCTAAAACTTTCAAGTCTTCCATATCGTCGGGTGCGGACACTGTGATGTCAGCGGCTGTAATCGAAACAAGAAGGGAAAACGCAAGTGCAATATTTGTTCAAAGAAAATATGATTGCTTTTCGTTTCTCTTGTTAAGAGAAAAATCTTGCTGTAACAGTATAGTACATTGAAACGACAGATGCTTGGGCTAGTAGGTGATTGGAAATCAACATATTTGCACAGCGCAAGACTACGAGTAGCTACGACGTAACTGCCCGCAGTGCTCTTTCTGTCCTTGTCTTTTCTTCTGTATATACGTCGTAACTACTCGTAGTCTTGCGGTGTGCAAATATGTTCAGGCATAGTACAACTGTAGCGTAGCAAAGAAGTTCTTTTCGGATGGGCGGGGACATACTATGTGTATGGTCCTGCGTGCGTTTGTATGTGCTCGCGTGATATAAACATGAAAAATTCAGTGCTTTCAGAGGAAGTTTTGAACACAGCCCCCCTTGCTGCGCCAGTGTCCTACAGCGTATAAAGTCGCTCATGTATTAGCATGGTTTTATGGTATCTGTTGTCTACAATAACTAGAGTACATGTGCGTGGACCTCGTTCAAATCTTAGCTGGCCACGTCTTCTAGATGTTATGAAAAGTAAATATCTGAGTATCAAGACTCAAGTCCGCGGAATCCTGCATAGCTGAATGTGACCTAGTGCTCCCCAAAACGCCATCCATCACATTTTTCATCTTGTCTCGCCATTGCAAATGTCTTTACCAGTCTGCGCAATACATCACATGTAGACTTCTCTTGTAATATTGTTCTTGAATTGTCAACAGCCATTATGCAATACAAATGACTAGATAGTGAGAAAGGACTTGTTGCCCATTCGAGAGAGAAACGTCACGGTTACTTAACACGCCCAATGTAAACCAACTTTTCATGGCTTTGATTTGTTTGTATCCTCAACGTCCATTGGAAAATTTTCAGAATAACTACAGAGGGGTGTTTGGATAAATACATGTGGTTTAAAATTTCAACCGTAAGGTAATTTCAAGTTAACAAACTTTTACGGGAAAGAACATGAAATATTTCTGATTTTTTGACCCAATATAGCTGATTTCTTCAAAAAAGTAGTATATCAGTGTTTCTTTTTCAATTATTTCTTCTAAAAATTAACTCCGCTTTGAAAATCAATTAAACTATAAGGGGACACACGAGATGAAAAATACGTTTTACTTACATATTTTTCATTGTTATTTTCATTCACAAGTTTAGTTTCTCTACTTTACGACAAAACAAGCTGAGTAGTATATTTAAACTCAAAGCTCGTTAGAATCGTTCTTAAAGGGCACACTGTGGCTATAAGTGCTTGTTGTCTAGAGTCACTTGGAAATTGTCACCTGGCTGCTTGCCATTTCATTTCGCATGAGGGGTTTATAAATCCACATTCTGAAATTAACTATGATTGCCAAGTTCTCATTATGGCAGAAATCATTTTAAACAACATCTATTTGCCGCATACTTGAGCTTTCATTTACACCTATAAATGTGTTGTTTCAAGATTAACTTCTGGGGAACTTCTTCAGGATGGACATCGTGTTGCTGGTAGTTTTGATAGACTTACCGGCATGAATTTGTGCCCGCATATTTCTTAACCTGTGATGGGTGCAAGTATCTCCTCTAAACCTTTATATGGCCTGTGTAATTACTATGAACCTAAAGTAGACTATTAGTAAGGGCTGAAGATTCTAAAAATTGTCACGTTATAGTTTTTATTGGCCATCAAATTGTTTTATAGGCACTTTTTTACTAGTTATTTGCAGTCTACTGTTAATGTGGAGCAAGAGCAATATGAGATATTATTCCCTCAGGTTTCTATAGGTTAGTGGCATAAAAATGTTGTCCCAAATGAATCGTACTTTACACATTGTCATCATGGCACAACACGAAAACATGGAGCACTTACTGTAAAACTACTTACATATTTCAAAGCAGCCTAAACAAGCATATATATATATATATATATATATATAATATATATATATATATATATATATATATATATATATATATATATATATATATATATATATATATATATATATATATACCGTAAGTACGTATTGACTGAAGGTATAGGCTGAGAAAGAAGAAGTGCAGAGTAGAATAAACATGGCGTATGAGCCAGGCCACGTCTCCCATTCATCATAGCGTCACACGAGTCGGCAGGATGAAGGCCTGCCAGCCCTTTCATCAGTCGCACATCATCGACAAGGTTCTCCGCGAGGCACCCTGACCATAAATGAACTACCGAACCAGCACCGGCAGTACACATCGACGAGCATCATGACGGCATCATCGACTGACCTTCCCATCCCCAAGTACACCGGAGCAGCAGACGATGGACCTGTACAGGACTGGTTCGACCTGTTCGAGCTCCACGCTACCGCTGCATCATGGTCGGAACGGGAGATAGTCGCCAACTTTAACGACTACGTCTCCGGTGAGGCCTTCAAATTCTACCTCACCCACATATTTCAAAACGACGAGTCATAGGAAAAGATATAACAAGAGATGATCGTTTGGCTTAAAGAATGCAATGACGACTACGACGAAGACTTGCTTGTAACCCACCATCCACAGACAACTGCACTCAGTCGTCAATTTTACAGGCAGTCTTCAACCATTCGAACGCACAACAAGATTCGACCTCTGGCAAAAAACGAAGTGGCACACGAGTTCAGTGGCAGACGACAATGCGTATTTTGAGAAAAACGCAGCCATCGAGCGCGCCTCCCTTCTGCACGAAAGTCGGCATTTGCGAAGTCATCGCTTCAGCATATGACCCGAGACGTTGCTCAACCACCTGATGCCGTTCACTCTTCGTCTCGCATACGTGGTCCACCACCTGGGTTTTCATCATGCGGTTCTTCAAGTGCTCCTAACGCTCACCATTTGCCTTATAAGGATGCCGTATTTATGGTAGATGACATGGCGCATCGGGAAACTACCCTGTCGAGCCATGCTCCTTCCGCACGGGTTCATGCATCGCAATCCAGTGCATACACACTCGACAGTGGAAGCAACACCGAAGGCTCAGACGCATCAAACGTCGCACGCGGCAATGCGCAAGAGCCTCTCGTAGTGAACAGGCTAGAAAAAGCTTCTGAAGAACATTCTACTAACTCTGAAGCATTATCTTCATTGCCCGAAGTGCATGACAACAGCCCACAAACTACCAGCTGCTGACTGGGCACCACGTCAAGTTGTGTAGAAAACCAGCGTGATGTTCAAGAAGAGATCTCACCGCAATGCGTTCCACAGCAACATCAGCAACGCCAGCAAAAGCAAGTCCAAGAATCGCAGACACTTCAACTGATACACCGACAAGGACGACGACGCAAAGTAAGCCTTTTAAAACAAATTCAAGACGTCAGGCATTTTCCTATGAGGGATCGGTGCCAGAAACGCATTTGGCGCAAGAGATCAAGACTGCGCCTACGATTACAGCTCCGAAACAGCAGAAAACGACAAAAGAGATGAGAAGGCACCATCTGTACAACGCAGAGACCAAGACATCATTCTGATTTCATCAGCTGTGACCATCGCACATGCAAACTAGTAGCACACCGCCTGTTCCCGTCATGAGACGCAACTCGACGCCTTCAACATCCGAACTTCAAATGCTACAGGGACTCCCACTCTTGTCCGTTCCTCGCAAGAACTCAACCCATGTCACCACCAGTGCAGATCTCCAGGGTGTGGTTATGCCATCCAGAACGCAACAGTCAGCCTCGCCCACCAGAACTCCTGCGTAACCGGACTGCTGCACTCTCCACTGAAGTCTCCGAAAGTTCACGGAACTCCTCTGGAGCATAGAACCAATTGTGACTTTTTACATTTGTGACTTTTTAACATCTCCTTGTTTGCTTTTTCTTGTTCATAATTCCTGCCTTCTTTCGGGGGGAGAACTCGTGTAACGTAAATAGGTGTTGACTGAAGGTAGAGGCTGAGGAAGAAGAAGTGCGGAGTAGAATAAACATGGCGTATGAGCCAGGCCACGTCTCCCATTCATCATAGCATCACACACAAATACACACACACACACACACACACACACACACATATATATATATATATATATATATATATATATATATATATATATATATATATATATATATATATATATATTGAAAAAGGGTTTATTGACGACTGTTGCGACGGTGGTCCTACGAAGAAACAGGATCGTGCAAGAGCAACGGTCAAGCAGATGCCGGCGATGATCAGCACGAGCCGAGCGAGCGAAGCCCAGCACCCAGTACCCAAGCGGTGGCGATGTTGCTTGCCAACGACGCTCTTTCTTCTTCACAATTTGCCCCCGCCGAAAAAGAGCCATCCTGGCGACCTAAGAGTCTGGAGGCAGAGGGCTATAATATGGCTCAAGGCGGGCGACGTGGACGATGTCACGTCCACGCCGGCGCATGTCGTCAGATGGGGAAAGTGGCTCGATGAGAAAATTCACCGGCGATGTTTGCTCCAAAACGCGGTATGGGCCCTCGTACTTTGGAACGAGTTTTGAGGAAATGCCGGGGGTTTGGTAAGGAACAGCCAGCTATACAAGTGATCCCGGGGAATAGCTGGGGCTTTGTGAAGAGTCGACGTTGTTTTCTTTCTGGCGCTGTTGTTCTCGAGACGTAAAGGTGCGTGCGAGTTCACGACACTCTTCCGCATTTCGGGCAGCTTCGGACACAGATGGGCATTCGGATGCGTCAGGACGGTATGGAAGGAGAGTATCGATGGTGTGGGATGGTTCGCGTCTATAAAGAAGAAAGAAAGGTGAAAATCCAGTGGTAGACTGTGCCGCGGTGTTATATGCGAACGTAATGAATGGAAGAATGCGATCCCAGTTAGTATGATCGGATGTCACATACATGGCGAGCATATCGCCAAGGGTGCGGTTAAATCTTTCCGTGAGCCCGTTAGTCTGCGGGTGGTATGCCGTGGTCTTGCGATGAACAACATGGCATTCAGAAAGCAGAGACGTGACGACTTCTGATAGGAAGGCTGGAC